CGGCGGAGCTGAGCGCCCAGGCACCGAGGAGGGGGCAGAGCGCGGCCCCCTGGGGGTGCAGGGCGGGATGCTAGGCATACGTGACCCGGGCGCCCGACCTGGGCGAGCCCGAGGTGTCCAGGATCGCCTGGATGGCTAGCTGCTGGCCAGGGGCCTTGCTGTGAGCACCGCAGGGAAGTCCCCCAAGGCAAACCCCTACTCCACTAGGTGTTATCTTTCCCTCTGCGGCGCAGCTGGGTAATACGAAGGAAGGTGGGTTGGGATGAACCAATCTAAAAATAGAGGATTGTGAGGACCCAACCGGTGCGTGTTACTGTTTATTTAAAAAAAAAAAAATCAGAACAGGACGGAACTGCAATTTCCGAGCGGCCCGCAGGCTCCCCCTCAGGGGGGGGTCCACGGCCATTAAAAGTGTTGCAGAAAGGTTCCTGTGCAAACTTAATATGCCTCCGTTCTTTCCCCTAAGACAGACCTTTCAACGACTTCAAGACATTCCTTAAACACCTTGTTTAACCCAGAAGACTTGTTGATCCAACCAAGCTTACATCAGTTGACCAATACAGTTAGGCAGTGAGGTTACAAAGAGAGAGCGAGAGAGACGGTGTCCCTTTACCTCTCCTAGCTTCAGAAACTTTTAAATGGAGAAGCTGTATTTTTAAAAGAAGTCTGTAGTGTGTTTAAGGTTGGTGGTTCTGTATTAGGTCTCCCCTTTACCACTTAAGGGAAAATGGAGCTCCAAGTCCAATGTGACTTCAGGGGAAGCATCGCCTTGCCAGGAAGAAGCCTTTCTATGGGAGCTAATTGAGCATGTTATTGAGATGGAATGCAATTTCGGGGTATGCATGTTGTTTTAATTCCCCATTTTTGAGAATTGTGAACCTTCCAGAGAGAATCTTGCCCAAAGCATAAAGGGAAAGAAAGATGCAAACCTGAGTGTGTGTCTGTCGTCAAAGTGAGCACATTGGCCCTGATGGGTGGGATCTGGCCATCCTTCCCTTGTGCTCTGGTTTGCACCTTATCATTGTGTGCTCAACCCTAAAACAGTATTATATGTCATATTTCTGTGTTTTATTTTTCCCTTTGTCTCTCAAATAAGTAGCCATCAACAGAAATTTGGACTATTGAAAAAGAAACCGGTAATAGTCTAATCAACTAGGTCAGTCTATGTAAAATAAAGTGGTAACATTTAAGCCAATGCCCCGACACTCGAGTAAATAGTAGACCCTTAATAGCTACTTTTTTTTTTTTTTTCTGTAAGAACAACCAAACTTCTTAAATAACCTTTTGGCTTTTTGTTTTGATTCTTCACCCTATTTGTTCCTATCTGGAGTAGTCAGTTCCCCCTTTAAAGTAGGTTGCTGACTGGCTTCTCACACTGTCTTTGCTGCCATCCATCTCTCTGTAAACATTACACAAAGGATGGTACCATTAACCAAGATGAGGGAGCCTGGGGCGAAAGATGCTATATAGAGGTTAAGTCTTAAGTTTCCCATCCTATTAACCATCCAAGTGGGATTGTAGAGTAGTTAATGTTATCTATAAATAGATGCTCAGGCTAGGACTGGAGCTGTAGGCAGGCATTTAGGATTAGTTGTATTAAAAAACAGTACAAGATAAAAAAAAAAAAAAGGTCATTAAGGAGTCATGAGAGATGGGGACAAAGCTTCTCACTCTAGTCCAGTGGTTCTCAAGCTTCCTAATGCTGGGACTCTTTAACACAGTTCCTCATGTTGTGGTGATCCCCAACCATAAAATTACTTCATTGCTACTTCATAACTGTAATTTTGCCACTGTTATGAATTGTAATGTAAATATCTGATAATGCAGGATATCTGAGATCCAATGGGTCATGACCTACAGGTGGAGAACCACTGCTCTATACAGAGGGTGTGATTAAGAGGAAGAACAAAAAAAAAGAAAAAAAAAGAAAAAAAGAGGGGACCAGTGACATAGGAAACAAGACTGGAGAGGTGGTATTCTGACAGCCCAGTGCTAACATTGCTTCAGGGTGGAGGGCCTTAAGGGATCTAGTGCTCCTGGGAAGTCATCTGGGATGGTCACTGAGACGTATTTTGACCAGACAGAGATTTATTTGTAAAGTTCCTGATACTCCCATTTTAATTTGATGCTGTGGTCAGAGCCTTATTTAGGTCATGGGGTGGGCTCTAGAAGGATAGAGAGTATTGGGAATTCTTTGGTGATGATTTATTTCAAAGGGGAGCAGAGACATGGTCTGTACTTGGGTAGACTTGGGTCCAGTGAGGTATTTTGCCTAAGTTTAGAGAGACTAGAGCATGCTTGCTGGTTTCTGGCAATGGTTTGGAAAAGGAAAGTTTTGGTGATCCAGGGGGAAGGGAATGGTATGTTAAGGTACAGAATCCTGGCTGTGTAGGTAAAAAGAGGCCCAGATACAGGACAGATGCTGGCAAAGGGTAAAGGATGCAATCATTTACATGGCAGTCTTAGGATACAAGCAAAACATGAGTATATCTTCCTTTCACAGATGCTAAAACTAAGATTCAGCTGAGTGATTTGCTGAAGGCCTCACAGATACCAAGTAGCAGAACCAAGACTCACCTTAATCTCTTGGCTCCAGATCGTGGGTCATTGATCTTTATAACAGGCTTTTCAAATATCCACCACTTCTATCACTTTTTAGCAGGCATGAAACTGGTGCAGACCTAATTAGGCAGACATGGAAGCAGCTGCTTCACGCACTGTTGCTCTGAGCCTTGTTCCATTCTTCTAAGCTCCAGCAACCTTGTTTTTAAGACTCACACACTAATGACTGCCAGTCAGGTATGTTGTAAGATGCGAGTGAAGTAATGTACATGTAAGTGTTTTGTAAATGGCAAAGTGCTCTCTGCAAATGCGGGTGATGATTCATGTGGTTGTAGCTCAGGCTAAGTAGATTCTGAAACTTGCCAGGCAGAGCTATTTTGAAAAGTGTGGCAAGAACAAGAATTGAAGCTTTTCCTTGCTTATGTAACATGACAGTGTAACTACCGTTAGACATCAGAGGATTTGGTGTTAAAGTGGCTCAGTGCTTTGTAGTAAGAGTGAGAATCACACCACTTCAGAAACGTGTGAAAATTGCTTAGAAGGATGCCAGTCTGTCAACACACATAGAGGGTGGGAGATGATGGGAGAGACAGGACTGGGGGCAGCTTTGTTAATGAATATTCATATTTTAACACTGCAGTCTTCACTGTGCTCCCTCTCATTGTCCTGCACATCACTGGACAATACATGATATGGTCTGGAGAGCTAAAGGATGCCAGACTTGCATCTTATAGGTTGACAGTGACTTCACAGGGGTTGCACTCTGTAAGCAGCCTGAGAGAACTACCACATAGAAAGTACTTCAGTTAACATTGACTCCACCCCAGAGCTCTGTCTTGCTTTGTGTATTTATCTCAAGTTTGCTGATTTATATCCTATCGATTGTTGAATGGACAGATGATTACTCATGCCTTGTATGTTTGTTATGGTACTTTGAAAGAGTTTAGCAAGCTGATTTAGTTTAAAATCCCCCCTCCCTTTCATAAATATTACTTGAATTTCAAGTGCTGCTTGGAGATGCAAATTTAATGAGAATCTTCTGTGTAGAATTGATTTACCATCTTAACCCTTTCATTGTACTATATAAAATAAACTTTGGTATAGGTTCATTTCACATCTGGTGAAACATGTTTTCAATTCATTCTGAGTGCTGTTCTGGATCAATACTGATCCTTAGCATTTGCCCTCCGAAGGCGTGAAACAGTTTACTATTTAGTGAATTGAAAGTTTATTATTTAGAGGCACACGAGTTTGTAATGCAAAGGAGGAAGTCATGTCTGAAAGCACTGTTCGGGAGCATCATTAAAGAGAAAGCAACACAGCTGGAAGGTGGTGGCGCACGCCTTTAATCCCAGCACTCGGGAGGCAGAGGCAGGTGGATCTCTGTGAGTTCAAGACCAGCCTGGTCTACAAGAGCTAGTTCCAGGACAGCCTCCAAAGCCACAGAGAAACCCTGCCTTGAAACAACAACAGCAACAACAACAAAAACCAACAACAAAAGATGGGGGGCAACATTATAGTTTCCTTTATCTGGACATGTTGTCAATGTTCAGGGCTCTTTATGGATGTTGAGTATTTTAGAGTTTGTTCTGGAACTTTCTTGGGAACCTTCTCTGTGTAAATGGAGTTTCACTCTGTGTCTTAGGGTGGTGATCCCACAGAAGCAACTGCTAAACCAAAGAGGAGCTTCTATGCCGCGAGGGATTTGTACAAATACCGACATCAGTACCCAGTAAGACAACGGAATGCTTTCCCCCCTTACATGTAAACTCTTGTCTTTCTGTTTTTCTGATTTTACTCTGCTAGTAAGAAAACATGTCAGAGGAATCCTTGTGCCTTTTTGTGTGTGTGTTTCCATATCCTGGAGATTAATATAACTTTTCTTTTAGCAGAACTTCAAAGATATCCGATATCAAAATGACTTGAGCAACCTTCGCTTTTATAAGAATAAAATTCCGTTTAAGCCAGATGGTGAGTAAGCCACCTTGGTAAAAAGCAAATTTTAAATCCTAACAGATAACTGGGTGTTCTTTTCTTATTCTGGAATTTGTGTATTCTTGCTGCATTTGTTGGTTGGTCAGCTTTGTTTTGCCTTGCCATGCAGGCTGATGTGTTCCTAGAGTCCAGGGTTTTAGAGTTGTGGTTATCCATTTAGTAAAACTGTGGAGAAATAGATATTGATTACCATACTTTCTCATCTGTGTGTCATGGTGGTTACTGAAAAGGCAGTTTTTTGGGGTTGGTTGGTTTAGTTTACTTGTTTTGGCTTTTTGTTGTTTTTTAGGCTGTGTGTGTGTGTGTGTGTGTGTGTGTGTGTGTGTGTGTGTGTGTGTGTGTCTATGAGAGAGAGAGAGAGAGAGAGAGAGAGAGAGAGAGAGAGCGCGCAGAAAGAGGAGAGATTTGTAGAGTGGCAGAAATTCAAATGATTAGATTTTGAAGGGGTTGAATTCAGCTGTTTCATTTTGAAGATGAGGTAACTAGGATATGAAGCCTAAATGACTGACTTGCTGGGTCACTGAAATGATTTTAGAGTGGGGCTAAATTCCAGGGTCCATTGTTCTTTCTGCTATGCTATACCTAAAAATTACTTAGAATATTAATAAAGATATTGCTTGTATCTAGAATTACCTTTGCCACTTTTCAAAATCGAGGGTTGGGAAACTACAGCAACCCAGTCCAAACCCTGCCAAATCAATGTGCCTCCCTCATAGCATAGGAGCTTTCCCAAACCCGTAATGAAAATTCACAGTTGCTATGGTAATTTGATTACAAACTTGTAAGAAAAGAACAAGGCGTCACACTGTGCCTCTCAATGGGTATCGGCATTGTGTATAGGCAAAGCAGAAGCCATAGTGTCCTTAGAGGTTTAGTGTGAGCTGACCAGATTGTCCTGATTCTTGTCACTTGCTCTCAGTGAAAACCAAGTGACATTCATGAGTTGACTAGTGAAGGTCCTAGATCAGCCATTCTCAACCTGTAGGTTATGGCCACTTTGGTGGTCCAACGACCCTTCCATAGGGTTGCCTAAGACCATCCAAAAACACAGATATTTACAATATGATTCACAACAGTAGCAAAGTTACAATTATAAAGTAGCAATGAAAATAATTTTATGGCTGGGGTTCACCACAACAGGGTGGGACTGTATTAAAGGGTCACAGCATTAGGAAGGTTGAGAATCAGTGCCCTAGACTGTAAGATGTTCTTGATGACTTTATGTTACCTGATACAAGCTCTAGTTATTTATGAAGAGGGAACCTTGATTGGAACAATACATCAGGTTGGTCTGTGGAAAAGCCTAGGGGATTTTCCTGATTGATGACTGATGAGTGAGGACCTAATGTCACTGGAGACAGTGCCATCCCTGGCAGGCATGTGAGTCATGAGAAACAAACCAGTAAACAGCATCCTCCATGGCCTCTGCTTCATTCAGTTCCTGCCTTGAGTTCCTATCTTGACTTACTCAGTTATGGGCTGTGATGTGGAAGTGTGAGCGAAATAAGCCTTTTCCTCCCTGTGTTGCTTCTGGTCATGGCGTTTGTCACAGCAATAGGAACTCTAAAATATAAGCCTTTCAGAGTGTTGGGATCTTGGTTTTTGGGAGAGAGAGTCTTGATTCAATGCCCTGAGGAGCATAGCCAGAATGGCCAAATCCAATTAGCTTGAACTTTTGGGAGTCCCAGAAGTCTGGAGGGAAACCTGTGGATATAGATGCAGTTGTATTTACCACGGATTTAAAAAAAAATGCAGGGGAAAAATGACTCCAGCATGTTAAACCTGTAGTGTGATTCAATATAAATTTTCACATTTTCTGGGAGGGGCCTAGGTGACAAAAGCTGCTGATCTTTGAGAAAACAAGAATGAGATGAGTTGTGGGTTTGTTTGTTTGGTTTGGTTTGGTTTGGTTTTCTGTAAGATTAGCTTACTGGCCAATTATAAGGACCTTGACAGACTTGAGAATTAATAGCATTTTATTAAGTTCTTACAGGACAACATGGGCCATAATAAAAGGGCTTAATTTCTATAGGTACAAAGACCAATGGTCTCTCCTAGGCTGCTTTGTTACTTGTGTGCGACTCTGAAGAAATTGCTATTACTATTATTACTATTACTAATTTGCTAGTATGTGGCTTTGAACAAATATAAAACTTAAGAGCATTGTTTCCACGAGTAATTTGTTTTGTTAGTCTCATAGAGATGATAATGCTATTTGGAATAGTTTTTCTGCACAGAGGCAGACAGCAAATATGTTAGGCTTTGCAGAATAGTCCATTGTAACACTCAAGTCTGTGTTGTATGGAAAAGCCTCTGTGGGCAGTATATAAATGGTGTATGTGTCTATATTACAATAAAACTTTATTTACAAAATGATCATTAGCCCATATTTGCCATCCTCTGCTTTACAGTACATCACCCAGTTGAGAGTTTGTACTTTTTGTTTGTTTGTTTTTTGAGACAGGGTTTCTGCCTGCCTCTCCTTCCCACGAGCTAGGATTAAAGGTGTGCACCACCGCTGCCAAGAGAGTTTGTAATTTGAGGTGCTGCTAATTTTTTGTTTAAATTAGGCTTATTACAGAGTATGTGGCATAGAGTATTCCTCTTTTAGGGGTGTTCTTGTGTGTTGTCTTTAAAATAAATGTTTTAATATAAAACTCAGGTGACTTGTATATTAAAATGCCATCACCATGTTTTCAGCGATTGGCTCATTTTCTAAATATTTACTGTTTAGGTGTTTACATTGAAGAGGTTCTAAATAAATGGAAAGGAGACTATGAGAAGCTGGAGCACAACCACACTTACATTCAATGGTCAGTTAAATGTTCTCTACCTTGAACCGTGTCCTGTTTAATCATGTGTTCTCAAGACAATGTTAATTGAAAATTTTTATTTTATTTATCACAAACTAGGCTTTTCCCCCTGAGAGAACAAGGCTTGAACTTTTATGCTAAAGAATTAACTACATATGAAATTGAGGTAATGCAAGCTCAACTCATCTTCCATGAGACAGCCAAATAATATTCTGACTTTATTGTCCTGAAAGCTACTGAATCATTTCAAGTGACGTTCTTTTTCCTTCTTATATTAGGAATTCAAGAAGACAAAAGAAGCAATCAGAAGATTCCTCTTGGCCTATAAAATGATGCTAGAATTTTTCGGAATAAAGCTGATTGATAAAACAGGAAATGTGGCTCGGGCTGTGAATTGGCAGGAAAGATTTCAACATCTGAATGAGTAAGTGAAGCCCCAGTGCTAAGCCAGTGGCCTTTTCCTGTGGCACCATTCTCTGGAAAGTAGGACTAGGTAGCCATTGGGCATAGGAATAGCTAGATATCAGACATAGGACTACTAGATTTGGGGCATAGGACTAGCTAGCTGTTGGACATAGGACTAGCTAGATGTTGGACATAGAAATAGGAATCAAAATCCATGCAGAAATGCATTTATTCCTTCTTGTACATCTTAAAGCAAAGCACAGAAACTCCAAAGGACAAATTCTACATAGAGCATTGGCTGTTCTGCTTCAGAGCGGTTTCTTCCTGAATCCTCTGCCTGCAGCCAAACATGGCTTCTCTCCCTCTGTGCGCCATATTTCATGGAGTTTATAGCTATTGCTTGCTTGTATTTTTTTCATGTATTCTCTCCTAGGCTATAGGCTGCTTGCAGTACAAATGGTTTCTAATATCTTTATGCATGCAAATGTCTTAGATTAAATTCATGACTGAGGTCTATGATTTATAAAAATTGTTTCATTCAATGTGGCTATACTTCTAACTAAAATAGAGGAAAAGTTATCTTCATGAGTTAGGTAAAAGACAAATACCTATTTCTGGTTAATTCCAAAATCTATAAAGGAAGATCTAACAGCTTTCTTGGATGGGTTTATCTGTATTCTTTTGCTTGAATATGTATAATGGTAATTAATACTTATAACCAAAGTTTAGTTTTAAAAATATTTTCTTCATATGCACACTGGGTTTTTCCCCCATTTTTAATTATAGAGTGACTTATAAGTACTGGACTATAAAACCAACAATTTTTTAAGAAACTTTTTTTAGCACCTTGTAATTAGCTGAACTGGGCAAGTATTAAGGAAAAAAAAACAACGTAAGTGATTTCTCTTTGGCAAAAACAATCAGAGTCTTGGCATCAGCTCTTTAAATTTTTTGCATCTTCCTAGAATTTACCCTGGCTTTAGTAAAAGGAGCAGAAATACTAGTGTTGGGTATCTTTTTCCTGTGTTGTAAGTAACACTGTGAAAACAGTAGGCTCTGCTAAAGCCTTGAAAATATGGGCATAAAGCATTCCAATCCTGAGACTGGCTAACTAACTGCTAACTGGGTTTAAGTTTGATAGGTCAGCTGTTTAAAGGCAAGTGTATATGCATCTGCCTGTGTCGTGCAGACAGCCACATCTGGATGGTTTCTAAGCAACTTTGTCAGACTGTTGAAAAGCTGTATGCAAGTCAGCCATTAGCAAAAGTGATCAGACCTCACTTTTTGTGTACACACCACTATCGTTTTGTACTTTCTGCTTGGAATGACAGTGTAGTTTGGAGCATTGAAGTTATAAATCCTGGGCAGAATGTGATCAAAAGCTGAAATCCTCCCCAGGGTGTCATGGTCAGGTCTTTTCATTTAGAGCCCAAAACAGAGCCCTTTCTGAAGGCTTTATTTAATTAGGTTGTCTCTTAGTCTCAGTCGTAAAAATGGCTTGAGTCCACAGCCTTTCTACTCTGTCCCACCTAGCAACCTCTCCTCCTGTCATCCAGTGTCTCTCTGCTTTTGCAGCTCTGAATAAACTCTCCTAGGCAAAATAAATAAATAAATAAATAAATTTGAACAAAATATTTTACATGTATATGTGTGTGCCTGCTTGTCTGTGCATGTGCCCACATATGTGCAGATGCCTGAAGAAGTCAGAAGATCCAGTGGGACTGGTGTTCCCAGGCAGTTGTGATTTGCCTAATGCAGATGCTGGGAACCAAATTTATATTCTCTGCAAGACTTTCTCTTTTTTTGAGACAAGATCTCTGAATCCAGGCTAACTTCAAATTTGCCATCCTCCCAGCACTGTCTTCCAAATCCTGGGATGCCACTGCAACTTCCTCATTGCCAAAAGTTTTTATTGATGGTATTTGAGCAAATGATGTGGAATGATGGAAACATATCTCCTCTGTTTTCATTTGGATTCTTCTGTGTCTTATCCTTAAATGTCATTGCTTTATATGTGATTGAAGCCCTGTGACATCTTGAACTTTTTAGAATAGTCTGGGATCTGGTTCTATTTCTAGCTCAGTGGAAGCAAACTGTTTAATCAGAGTAACACTAAGTAACATTGAGTGAACAGGTGACGTGATAAAATACAGTGGTGAAATATGTTCAGGCATGCAAGTACAGATATGCAGATCGACCACGAAAGATGCTGTTCAGGTCATGTTTTCAATGAACCATACTAGTCTTATCTTAGGTTTTATTTCCCTCCCATGTTCTCTCTTTGCCTATGTAGTCTTCTGGCAAAATCAACCCTACCCTTTTGTCTGTATGGCCGCCACCCTTCCTCCATTCCCTGGTGTGCAAGCCCAAGGCCATGTTCAGGTTCAGCAAGATTTAACTTCTCTTTCACCACTTTGCCTTTGATTGCAACATTGATATCAAATCATTCTTAAACCCCCAATGTCTTTGTTTTACAGATAATTTCATTCTAGAACCTTGATCATAATTTTCTGCAGCTCGGGGTTTTTATGTTTTTTTTTTCTGTTGCATAAATACTTTCACGTATGAATATATAGATACTAAAGAATGTGTGTGCAAATACCAACTTTCCTGTTCATCTTAGAGTGGTTTTATTGCAAGTCTGGTATCTGCTTCATCATGTTTTGGGTTTTGTCAATTCCTCCAGTATAAGAACTCTACATTAATGTGGCAGCTAAATCAATCCTGTTGTTTGTGGTATGGTTTCTTAATGTTACTCCAGTCACATTGTCTCAAACACATTTTAAAATATAGACTTGAGGCTGGAAAGATGGCTCAGCAGCTAGAGCAGTTACTGCTCTTGCAAAGGACCAGGGTGTAGGTCCCAGCACCCACGTGGCGTCTCACTGCCTGTAAGTCCAGTTCCTGTGACTCTCTCACCTTCCTCAACTCCTGCACACACATAACGCATATAAATTCACACAACTATGAACACAGACACATAAATAAGCTTTAAAAATTCAGATATTACAGATTCATAATGCTCAGATAGATGTCTAAGTGTCAACTTTCAGGTTGAAAACATTAAAATTTAAAATAATACTTTGGGGACGAAACATCCAAGAGGATGGAGATAATAAAATTTGCGTGGGCTTATCTATCCCAGTAGTTGGTTAGCTCAAATAATTAAGATTTTTGTTTTGTCTGTATTCTCTTCCGGAAGTATAAGACCATGGGGCTACATACTTTGGTTTCTCAAATAATTTTGACATCTTTCTCCAACTTTCCCAGATGATTTGGTAACTGCACCTAATTGAAAACTCAAGCATGTTTGGAAGCTGGGGCAGATATGTGTAGTTCTTTCAAGAAAGTCCAGTATCTGATTTAAAACAGGGTTTGTGGAGTGAGAAGCAATGGCTCGTTCTGTTGTGTAGCAATTCTGGGTTAACGTGCACCTGACATGTTACTGTCAGACATGCTTCTGTAATGGGGGATCTGAAGGGTTTGGCCAGGTGTAAGGCAAGTGCATTCAGCTGAACAGGGCTGGGGAGGGAGGTGATGGCTTGTGACAAAGGGGAGAACACTAATCCAAGAATGGCCTCAGTTTTTGAAAGAGAAAGCTAGCAATGTCATGTGGGAGAGGTGCATGTTTGGAATCAGGATTGTGATGAGTAAGATTTAACGCTTTTTAATGAGGGAAGGGGAAGTGAGAATGGCAAAGATGGAAGAAATAGGTTAAGCGGAGTGCAGATACAGTGTTACTCAATGCCAAATTCTGTTTTAGTAGATAATCATAGTACCAACAGTGCTAAGAGCTGAGGGTGGTGGGTGATACATGCTTATAATCCCAGCACTGGGGAAGTGAAGACAAGCAGATCCCTGGCAATGGTGGCCAACTAGCCTAGCCTCCTGGAGGCCAATGAGATACCCAGTCTCAAATAATGGGGTGAGTGGTGGCAGAGAAACGATGCCAGAGGACATGTTTGCACACACACACACACACACACACACACACACACACACACATATCACACATACATGCACACACAAAATAGTTCTAAACAACATGCAAAAGTTCCTGAGTTTGTCCATGTCTTTCATTTGTATCATCTCATTGGATTTTTACAACAGTGCAGTTAGAGTGTGGGTCCTCTTCCCCATTTTACAGATGAAAACACAGAGGCTTAGATGGGCATCGTCATTTCTCATTGCGGCTGAGTAACAAAGCTAGGGCCTGACTGGCTCTGAGGTCCACAACAGCTAAGGCAGACTCTGTCAAGTCAGTACTGTTTCTTTTGCCACAATTGTTCTAGCCAGATAATAAGACTGAGCACCGTGTTCCTGTGACTTATCTTACCTAGCAGCAGATTTTGCTGGTCAGTTGGTGCTGTTAATCACCATTTGGCTGTTAGGTAGAGTGTCTCTGGTTAGCCCTGGCTACCTGTGATAAGTAGCATACATTGATGATGTTGCAAGCTCGGAAGATTCCTGTAGATGCCGTAATTCACAGATTGTACAGAACCCTATACGTACTCTGTTTTGTTCCTGTAGATACGCATCCGTGATGAGGTTTCTAAGTTAGACATGGGAAGAGACCACAGTAATTAATAATAATGTGGGGAGGTTCTAATATTCCTGTAGTAAGAGTTATGTGCACACATCATTTATTCTCCCATCTGTTTTTGTACCATCCTTACTTCTTATGGCGATATCAGCTAACCTGATGCTTGGCTGTTTGTGCAAGCTGCTCTCCTAGATCACTGGTCCCCAGATACATTAATAAGCAAGGTAACACAGGCGAGGATCCGTTCAATCCTAATTGTTCTTTATATGAAGAGTCTTTTAAAGAGGAGAGTTTGTTTTTACGTTTGGGTTTCACATTGGTTATATTACACCGAGGCCTCAGAGTTAAATACATTCCGTTCTCTCTCATTTTATTCAATTCTTTCTTTCAGGTCCCAGCACAACTATTTAAGAATTACACGAATTCTGAAAAGCCTTGGTGAGCTTGGGTACGAGAGTTTTAAGTCTCCTCTTGTAAAATTCATTCTCCACGAGGCTCTAGTGGAAAACACTATTCCCAATATTAGGCAGAGTGCTCTGGAGTATTTTGTGTATACAATTAGAGACAGAAGAGAGAGGAGAAAGCTCCTGCGGTTTGCCCAGAAACATTACACACCGTCGGAGAATTTCATCTGGGGACCACCTAGAAAAGAACAGCCAGAGCGAAGCAAAGCCCAGAAAACTCCTACTCTGCCCACTTCGGGTTCGAACAGTCAAACTTCCATGCACAAGAAATCCAAGGACTCCAAAAATTCTTCAGTAGCTATTCACCTAAATAGCAAAACTGTGGAAGAAAAGAAGGGAGCCTCCAGGGAGACTGGGGAGGAGACAGACAAGCCGAGCCCAGAGCCTTGCAGTGAAGATACCAAGCCAAGAAACACAGAGAAAGACAGTGCTGCTGACGAATCGAATTCCCCACCGGAGGAGAAAACAGTTACTGAGACCACAGGGAAAGGGGTGTGTCCAACTTCTGAAAACATTAGAGAGGGGGAAACCCAGAGCAAAGACTTGGAAAATCCTGAAAACACCAGTTGCCATGATGAGGTAATGTCACAGTGAATTGTCACAAACCCACAAACCAGTTCCTGTCAAGGGAATAAAAAAGTAGTCTAACTTATCCTGAAGAACAGAGATGAGGTCATGTTTAAGACGTTAGCCATCTGTGACTTTTGTTGTTAATCCCTTGGTTCTTGCCTTTGGATCACAATGAATTTGGATATTTAATAAGCAATTTTTAAAACCGGTTCCAATAAAAGAATATATTTAGGATGTATTTCCAAATTCTGTATATAACAGTCACTTTAAAAATATTTTCAAGTTATCTGGAACTAATGGAGTAGCATTTGGTATTCAACACATTCTCCTGGGAGATTCATGCAGAAATGAGAGCCTCTCATGATGCAGTTACACCTGGCTTGTATTCATTTTGAAACTGGAAGGATGAGGTGTTCTCAAATGTAGCCAGAAAGTAATCTGGACTCTTTGATAGCAGCACCTCAGTGTTCTTAGCTTTGACTCTGCAGTGGCTGTCTTTCCCACTTGTCTGCAGTCCTGCTTTTTCCTGTCTTTGTCAGCTTCCAGATGAGTTTCCTAGTACGTTAGGACCCTCTCCTGTCCAGGTGGAAGAGGGGAAATTTTAATAGTCTGATTTCACAACTTTTTAAAATGTTTAGAATAATGAAGGTATTTTCAGTAATAAGTGCTTATAAAGGATTTGTGTGTATGTACGAGAAAAAATCCAGAAAAAAAAAGACTGATTTTTTTTTTTTTTTGCATCTGTTCTATACAAAATTGGTGATTGATTATGGATGCAAATCACTTAGGAGTGCTTTTTTCTGTTTTGTTTTGTTTTTTTGGTTTTTGTTTTTTTGTTTTTTTTTGTTGTTGTTGTTTTGTTTTTTCAAGACAGGGTTTCTCTGTGGCTTTTGAGGCTGTCCTGGAACTAGCTCTTGTAGACCAGGCTGGGATGGAACTCACTGAGATCCGCCTGCCTCTGCCTCCCGAGTGCTGGGATTAAAGGTGTGCGCCACCAACGCCCGGCTAGGAGTGCTTTAAAAAAAAAAATCACAAGAGTTACTCATTTTTAAAAAGATGTCTCCCCACACTGTCAGCAAACATATTTGTCCTTTGAGCCATTAGTATATTGATACCGTGAGCATTATGGGATTTCTGATGTCACTAGTCCACAGTGTCTACATGTACGTGTGTATGTTCCCCTTTAGTTTGTCACTTTGGAACTGAGAACAGTTTGCAGTTATCTAGACTCACTTTTAGTAAGTACTAGATATATTGCATCGCATTGGCTAAAAGTTTTATTTTGTATAGTTGTAGCTAGTTATTATTACATATCCGAAGACAATCAGAAACACTGTGATGGGAACTTGAGAACATTCATACAAACACAGACAAAGCAATGGACAGAGAATTTCTCACGTTTTTTTATTTAGCAAGGAATTGACTAAAACCTCTCCTCGGCTTTTAAGAAAGGTCCTGTATGCTTTCACTGCAACCCTCCTGCCCCAGGGAGCTTCTACAGTTTCCTCTTTCATAGCACATCGATCTCATAATCACCTAGTTGGGTCTTTCCCACCCTCACGTTCAGTGCTGATTCCTACAGATTACTCCCACCAGTCTCATGCTTTTAGAAATAAGATTTACTGTTTTTAAATTTACACAACACAGCCCTGTTGCTTATCCCTGATTTTCTTTCTTTTCTTTTTTTGTGCATGAGAGTGGCTCGGGGGTGGGGGGTTGGGGGCAATGTTGTGTATCATATCCCAGTAGGTAAGACATGAAACACTTCATCATTTAGTTACTGTAATTCAACAGCTTTAGTTTGTTCCAATTTACACATGGTTCAGGGATGAAAGAGGACTACTAAGTTAATCTGAATTGTAGCGATATGATCAATTTAATTCAGAATGTCTTCATTTTGAACACACAGTGAAGCATTCAGACCACTATAAGGGTATTTAATATAAAAACCATGGGATCAAGGGGGTTGGAGAGATGGCTCAGAGGTTAAGAACACTCACCGCTCTTCTAAAAGACCAGGGTTTAGTTCCCAGCACCTATACTAGGTGGTTCACAACTGCCTGGAGTACCAAGGGGTCTGCCTTCCAGGGGAACTGTGTGCGTGTCGAGCACATACATACATGCAGATTCACATGCACAATACATATAAATAAGTTTTTAAAAAAATAAACATGGGTCAGATGCTAAAAATATTTTTTAAAAATATGATACCAGAAACTAAAATTTATACAATCTGAATCACTTAGAAATTATGCTGTACTAGAACCCTTAGAAACAAAAACACTTAACAATTTAGATCTTAGACTGTTATTCCCTATTAATGGTTTTGGTAGCTTGTACTATTTAACTTGAGAATATTTAGTCTCAAGAGGACTGCTCCCTGGCTTCCATCTAAAAGAGTGGCCTTTTTTCATGATGGTCATTTATACTGCATATTCATAAGGTGGCAATGTTTCCTACATTTAATCTGTAAAAAGAGGAGAGAGAATAACTCAGTGAAGAACAAGTTAAAGGAAGTCCTTCCTTTTGCTGATAAAAATTGAACATCTCAATTTTTTTCTATTAAGAGCACTTTGTACATTTCATAGTTTTTAAATATAAGATGTATAGGCGATGTATTTACATGTGTGTTAGATATCAAACAGCCCTCTGAATTTGGCTTCTGTGTTTTATGTTTTTGCAAACTATCATATGCTTGCAGAAATTTGCTAAAAAGCTATTCCAGAAAATGCTGTATAGCATGGCCAAGTAGCTAGACGCATTGCTGAGCATCCATAGGTGTTCTCATTTGGTCTTTGTTGTGCCATGGACTGTAAGGACACTAAGTATTGGCTATTGATAAAATTACATTTCACAACAAATAGATGTCATATTGCTTGATTTAGTGCATTTCTAATATTTTTTCGCTTTCATATTTCAGAGGAGAAAATATATGTGAAGATATTTTGAAATACTGTAAAGTGATAAATAGTTATATATTTCTGTATGGTGGAGATGTTTCTGATATTAAGATTATTGTATCATTCTGCATTTTTTGAGCTCATTTTCATGAGAAAATCTAAATAATCCATGGTGGACATAAAAAAAAATCTGTGCTTCCTCTAAATTAAGACTAGTTGTCAGTTCTAAAATTATGGTGTATAGCTTTATTTTGTTTTAGGCTTTGAGACTATATTTTTCAATTTTTAGCAGAGAAGGTGTATAACTCAGGAGTTACTAAGAAAGTTCTAAGGGTTTTTTTCTTACTCTTTTTTATTTTTTTTTGGTGTTACATATATAAATACATGAACATGTAATAAAAATCTGTCACAGACATGATGCTTTGTACCACACCCTCCTGGTTTTCACAATTTACTAGGAACGAAGGTAGGATGGCTTAACAAGGAAAAAAAATATACAGTGAGGTAGTCCTTAAAAGACATTTTAGTAAATAAACCTACATGTCAAATGGTAAAAAGAAAAAGAAAGTTAAATGAACAAAGAATATTTGGTTAATTGTTTTAAAGTCAAAGTCTCCCATTTATGATAAAGTGATTGAGCCAAGCAAATGTAAAACTACCGTCTAGGCACCTCTAAAGTCTGGGGTTTGTAACACAAGAACTTAAAATCTTAATTTTAATATGTCCACAGGACTTTAATGACTATTTGGAGTAAGATCCCTTTTCACAGGAGTATCGGGGACTAGTCTGTTGTTTTCCCACTTAGAAAAATTTGCCTCTCTCTCTCTCTCTCTCTCTCTCTCTCTCTCTCTCTCTCTCTCTCTCCCTCTCCTCCCCCCTCTACACACTATGAGCTGAAATTTGACTTGCTAAGATCATTCAAGATAGAGGTAGTTTTAGAGGAAGATGGCTGGAGTGAATTTCGGACCTAGGAATCTAGCAATACACATCTAACTCACCTCTTTGAGCATTGGGGCTTGTAGCGTTTATTGGTTTATTGCAGGAACATATTTGTGTGGGAAAGCTCTAGGGTGACAGTGAGTACCACCCTGCCTCCCCCATTGTTCTAGTGAGCTCACCCACCCAGCAGATTGTTTCAGAGACAGTCTGCTTTTAGAAATCTCACTATTAAAATGAGTAATATAGTTCTAATATGAAGGCCTAGAGGTTTCAGATGTGCCTTAATGAATGTAAATGGTTTTCTTCCAGAAGTTCACATCACTATCCCATCGTAAACTCTTGTCATGTGGAACTTCCCAGGAGTAGAAGTCATGTTAATAAAACTTGAGTCGATGCTTTATCATATTGGAGAAATTACTATTTAATGACAAGAGCACCAATTCCTAAAGTATACTCACCACAGTTTTCAACCATTTGTCACCTTCGTCCAAAGAGTTCCGAGGAGCAAAGATTCATCTGTGTTACTGTGTTACTTTTGGGTTTCTCTGTTCTTTTATATGCTGGCTCAGTGACACATCCTTTGGTTATCGCAAGTCATAGTGATCTGTTTTACATTCTGTTCTTGCATTCAGATGGCTACATCAAATGGAATGTTGTTATAGAAATTATTCAAGTCTCCATTCTAGTAGTTATTTTGAGGAATCTGAAATCAGTTCGAAAAATCTTCATGTTACATTCTTAGTAGGCATGTTTTAAAGGCTTGTTCCTGAATTGCCCTAGAATAGAGAACATATTCGGTGTCATCTGCTTTTGCCAATTAATTCTGTTGTGAAATTTATTGTTTTGGTTATTTGTGGAAAATAACTTCCTGGTTTATGTTTTCTTGAATTAAAGTTTTCATGTGGAAAATCTTGTGATGGACTTGTGTTGTGCTCCTAACCCTGGCTGGCTGGCTGGAAATGGAGTTCAGAGGAGAGGGGGTTAAAAATCATGTGAGCATCTTGGGAGGCAGAACAAGCCCCGTTCATGGCCATGGTGGGGAGGGGTTCTTTACATGGATCTGGTTCATGAAGCTGTTGGACCTGTGACCTCTGCTGCCCAGAAATGATAGGCCTTCTTGGATCCCATACCCAATTTCAATGTATGTTGTTTTTCACAGAATATTTTCACAGCAGTTTAGCAACTTGTGAGCAAATGGACATCTGCTATGTAAATTAGTCCTATCACTGTATCTATCCTGGGAGACACTAAAATATCCCTCTTCACCTTGATTCTTCAATCAAATTTCTTTTGAGCTGTTCTCCCATAGGCTTACTGTATTAGCCAGGGTTCTCTATAGGGACAGAGCTTATTTGCTTTGTGTGTGTGTGTGTGTGTGTGTGTGTGTGTGTGTGTGTGTGTGTGTGTGTGTGCGCTCATGCATGCATGCATGTGTATACATTATAACAGATCTTATAGAATATATATATGTATATATTTATGAATACATGTATATATTCTTACAACAACTTTTAGAATACATACATTCTGTTGATAGCCAATGTTTGTCTAGCCACAGAAGGTCTAAGAATCCTGTAGTCATCCAGTCTATGAGACTGGTTACTCAGCTGGTCTTCAGTACACGCTGGAATCTGTAGTGCCGTGAAGGAAGGGACTTGGCAGCAAGGACATGAGCAAGCAGGTGGTTTTCCTCCTTCTATGTCCTTGTTGGCAGAAAGTGTGGCCCAGATTAAAGATGACTCCCTCTCAAAAGATCTGGATTAAAGATGTATCGATGTATCTTCCCACCTCACAAGTTTTTTGTTGTTGTTGTTTTTGTTTTTTTTTTTTAGAAAAAAAAATCCCTCACAGGTGTGCCTGGCTGTTTGGGTTTTAGTTACGTTCAGATGTAGTCAGGTTCACAACCAAGGATAGCCATCCTACTTATATTTTAAACAATAACATCATAACAACAACAAAATCCCTTCTTGTAAAGTGATTGTGAAAGGAAGCTTGAATGTCCACTATTTGTTATTCTAAAATATGTTAAATCATAGCGTCTTAATGAAACATTTTAAATGATGTTTAA